CCACCTGGGCACACTGCTGGCTCATGTTCAGCCTCCTGTCGATCAGCACCCCCAGGTCCCTTTCTGCCTGGCTGTTCTCCAGCCACTCTGTGCCCAGCTTGTAGCGCTGCAGGGGGTTGTTGTGGCCAAAGTGCAGGACCCGGCACTTGGCCTTGTTGAACTTCATCCCATTGGAGTCAGCCCATCTCTCCAGTCTATCCAGATCCCTCTGCAGAGCCCTCCTGCCTTCCGGCAGGTCGACACTCCCTCCCAACTTGGTGTCATCTGCAAATTTGCTGATGATGGACTCAATCCCCTCCTCTAAATCATCGATAAAGATGTTAAACAGGACTGGTCCCAGCACTGATCCCTGGGGAACACCACTGGTGACCGGCCGCCAGCTGGATGCAGCCCCGTTCACCAGCACTCTCTGGGCCCGGCCCTCCAGCCAGTTCCTGACCCAGCACAGAGTGCCCCTGTCCAAGCCACGGGCTGCCAGCTTTTCCAGGAGTATATTATGGGAGACAGTGTCAAAGGCTTTGCTGAAGTCCAGATAGACCACATCCACAGCCTTCCCCTCATCCACCAGGTGGGTCACCTGATCATAAAAGGAGATCAGGTTGGTCAAACAGGATCTGCCCTTCCTAAACCCATGTTGGCTGGGTCTGATCCCTTGTCCATCCTGTAACTGCTGTGTGATTGCACACAGGATGATCTGCTCCATAACTCTGCCAGGCACCGAGGTCAGGCTGACAGGCCTGTAGTTACTAGGGTCAGCCTTGCATCCTTTTTTGTGGATTGGAGTGATATTTGCCAACTTCCAACCATCTGGGACCTCCCCCGTGAGCCAGGACTGTTGGAAGATGATGGAGAGCGGCTTGGCAAACCTTTGCCGGCCACAGCAGGGTGCGACTCTCACCCCTGGCCGTGCACCCCGCGACAAGGCTGAGCCCCAGAGCCACCGCGCGGGGGCCGGACCCCCAGGTCTGCAGGGGGTGAGCAGCTCCCGTCCCTCCCGCTGTGCCCCCGGCCACCTCCCTCCCCCCGGGCACTTCGGTGGGCCGGCAGAGCCTGCGGCGCTGAGAGCATCGAGGGTGTGGCGACGGGCCCCCCTCCCCAGCCCAGGAGCGCGGGGTCAGGAAAGGCACACCGTAACACCGGGGTCTCTCCGCAGCCCCGGGAATGAAGGGACAGAGCTGGGACTTTGAAACTCCAAGCTTTATTGAGTTGCTTCGGCAGCGCGTGCATCACACGGGGGGAGGCGGGAGGCGAGGCCGCGGGGGCACAGCGGCGGCCGGGGGAACGCTTGGTCCGCTCCCCGCGCCCCGGCACGGGCCGGGGGCTCTAGTTGGTGGGGTGGTAAGCGCCACGCTGGTGCCACTGCATGTCCCGGATGCGCCTGACCGACTGGATCTGGGGGTGCTGAGCGCCGAAATCTGAGCTGTCCTTGTAGTCCCCCTTTTCAAACAGGTACTGGTAGCCCCGGTAGCCAGGGTACTGGTATCCCACCCACCTGCCAAGGCAAGCAGGGGGGTCACACACTCACCGAACATCACCCGGCACGGCACGGCCGGGGGGCTGTCCAGCCCTGGCATCGCCCGGAACGCCCCCCCACCCCGGCCCCGGTACTCACGTGCCACTCTGCACCCGCACGGATGAGACCTTCTCCTGGTAGCCGTGTGCGTGGAAGCTGGGCACATCGTCGTCTATGATTTCGATCTTCTTGCCGGTGAAGCTGGGGTTTTCGTACAGCACGATCTTGTGCTCCTGGCTGTCCTGCAGCCGGGAGAGCAGAGACGGGGGTCAGGGGCTGCCGGCCCCCGGGACTGGGCAGGGGGGGCAGAGCCCAGGGCTATGGGGAAACCGAGGCCAGGGCCGGCACCATGTGCCGCCGCTCCCACCGATGCCGGGGGTGCTTCGCATCCCTCCGTCCAGCTCAGAGAGCCGGCGCCTGCGCGGGCACTGCCAGACTTACCAGCAGACGTCCTCCGCTCTGGGGTCACCTGCCAGTGCCCCCGTCCCCGCGCCCCCTCCGACCCCCCCACGGCTCCCCGGGCCCCGAGGGCTGGGGCGAGGGTGCGCAGGAGGGGGTGCCCCTCC